ATAATCACAGAGAAAGATGATTTTGTGAAGTATATAAACTTACATCTTCAACTTGACACTGGATGCGGAAAATTGCCTGATTTGCGGGAGTACGCATGTCAAGAACCCTATAATTTAACCGTGTGTCCTGACCAACGCGAACAAGTTGCTCTCCAGTCTGCATTTGAGATTACTACCATCAGAAATAGCATCTTATCATTATAACAGAGATTCATGAAATCTATGAAGGAAAACTATATACTGAAATAAATACATCACTGTCTTACTTTGAAGGATACAAAAGAGAACAGCTGCCTTGAGCATTAGTAGAAAAAAGTAAAAGCATACAATTGTAGCACTTACCTGCTCAGCCTTCTCAAATTCCTTCTCACTCCTTGCAGCATCCTCAATTAATAGGCAAATTTGGCACGGCTCTATTGATGCAATAAAGTTTTTTTTACTTGAATTTCCACCTGCAGTAACCACAAATACAATGTTCACTTTTTTTGCGTATGTATAAACATGGCATTTAGATCAATGATATAGCAAACCACATTGTAATGGGAAAAAGATAAGATTATGATCATGATCACGATAACTATGAGAAGTTGTCTGGAACGGCAGCAGAGGACATATACAAAATAGTTGATGCAGCCAAATCCCATAAACGCTGCAGAAATAAACTTACGCTTCAATTTTATCTGTGAGGGGAGCCTGAAGATATGACAAATCTTGGGGTAATGTCAAACCCGCGGGTGTGGGGGCCACATGGCCGCACACTCTTTCAATTTCCGCGTGAAGCAGCCGACCTCACTATATATATATATATAGAGAGAGAGAGAAAAATGGGTCATAGCTTGGTTAGATTCATGGTGCGTGGATGGATATGTGTACATCTTTCAACATCAGCACTTGAAGATGAGCCATCAACCAACTTCAAAAGGTGTGATGTAGTGGACCAATGTGTCCACATCACTAAGCGCAAGGATGCCTTTGGCCCCAAGTATAGCCCCGCATATTCGCTCATATATTATATTTAATATATATATATATTTATATATATATATTATAATATTATAATATATATATATAATATAGAGAGAGGAGAGAGAAAATGGGTAGCTTGGTATACGCAAACAGCAAATTTTGTGCTTGGTAGTGATGTGTCACATCGCTGCATCCACTCAATAGCCGCATGTGAATGTTGTCTCACTATTTGAATGAGTGGAGGGGGGATGTGACACATCACTACCAAGCAGCAACTTTTTGTGCTTGGTACAAGCATACCCCATATGCTCATATTATATATATATATATAATATATATATATATTATATATTATAGAGCGAGGGGGGATATATAACCTCATTTGGGTGGCGAGTTTGGACTGGCTGCGCCGAGAAAAACACATTGCGCCTGCGGAGAAAAAAAAACGCGGGCGGAGGGGTTGACAGGAGAAAGTCGGCTGAGAAACAGAGGCTTTTTTGCTGTTTTGAGAGAGAACTTGAAAGAGAAATTGAGATCTTGTTTGAGGGTTTTATTTGTGAGACTTCGTGTGTTTGTAAACCCTATTTGTATTCTCTCTAATAGTAGATCTCCCCTCTCCTTACCCCGTGGACGTAGGCAATTTGCCGAACCACGTAAAATTGGTTGTCTCGCTATTTTTGTGATTTATAATAGCTTTTAGGTTCCCTCGACAGGTCTGTCCTAGAACTGATGAGAGGAAGAGCTGATATCTCACTTGGTTGAGATATTTTACTTAAGGTTCTTGTTTCCTTTGTGAAGCAGGAATTCCTATTACAACCTGACTCTCTTGTTGTGCTGCCGAAGTGCTGTCGAAATTTCCGCTGCGCGCAACAGTAATGTTCTTTTGTTCAAACTGAAATTGCAGCAAAATTAAAATCCAGTAACAATAACGACAAGTAGTTGAGGAAAATAGTAAAAAATCAACTAGGTTCTAAACTCCAACAAAGAGAGGCATTAAAAGCGAAGCATGGTGCACAAAGCTCCCACTATGCGCGGGGTCCAGGCAGGGCTCAGACAACTTTAAGTCCGCTACATGCAGCCTTACCTTACATGATTTTATTTATAAAAACAAAGTTCTATTGTGATTTATTTTCACAATCCACCCACTTCGAAAATCATTCTTAAAACCAAAATACTCATCAAAAGACATTTAAGTTGTTATACTTGGTATATAGGTAGCTATACTTGGGTCTAAGTTATTATTTCTGGTGCGTCAATAGCTATATTTGAGTTGGAAAATGATGTTTGGCTCGCGGCCGCCCAGCTCGCGCGCAGCACTGAGTTTGAGATGTTGGTTACGAAATAATTCAATGAGTATTTTTTTCATTTAAGAATGACTTTGGAAGTGGGCGGGTTTAAAAATAAATGTGAACAGAACTTACAGTTTATAAGTTGAAACCTGAGAGCATTTGCATATATAACCTTCAAAACTATTACAACCACAAATTTACACTTAATAGATATTTTTATTCCCGAAAATCCAACATTGGTGTTTTTACCCTCAATTTTCAATATCACTAATATACCCTAGATTAAATTAATATACCCTCAATTTTCAATATCACTAATACTCTCCAGCTTAAGTTAATTAGTCTTATTTATTTACAATTAACAGAGAGAGAAAGAGAGGGGAGGTGGGCTAGGATAAATTCTCTACTTATAAATCAATAAAATTAACCAACTCATCGAGGGATACGAAAACCAGTGTTGGGAATTTGAGGGTAAATTACCAAATATCTAGATTTTTTTTTTTTATCTCGGTCCATTTGCGGCTGCTGATGGTCTTGGATTGGATCTCTTCGGTCGGAACGTCGCCGTACGTAGTTGGCGGCAAGGAGGTCGACCCCGGCGAGGAGGAGGCGGCGGCGGCGGCGGCGCGGAGGATTCTTCCTGTTTTCGCCGGATTTCTCGGCCTTCACTGCCTCATTTCTTGGCTTGTTTCTTACTGATTTTTTAGGGTTCTTCGGTTGGTTGAGAGGGGGGATTGGGTTCTGATGACATTTTTTTCTTTTTTTGGAGGTTTGAGAAAATGCTAGCTCTGTTTGTTGAAGAAGAAGGGAGACGGTTTTATGGGAGGTTGGGGTTTTCGTCTTGCAGATAAGTCCCTGGTTTAGTCGTTCATAATTTATACTTCCACCGTGTTTGGATTTGGTACTTATTTAACCTGCGATAAATTAAGGGTCCGTTCGTTTCGCAAAAAAAACTTGGAAATTAAAGAATAGGAAACCTATTTCCTATAATAATTGTTTTGAGGTTGTTTGGTTGGGTTAAAAAAGAAGGAAATTATAGAATAGGAGATTATATGAGATGAGTTGTCACCTTATTATTGGATGATGTGAGTGATTTTTTAAAAAAATTTGTTTTGAGGTTGTTTGGTTGGTTAAAAAAATAAGGAAATGAATTGGAAGTATATTATTGGATGATGTTTTGAGGTTGTTTGTGTTTGGTTCATTTTTAAAAATAAGGAAATAGATGAGATGAGATGAGTTGGATGTATATTATTGGATGATGTGACACATACTTAAGGAAATTAATTTCTTGTTTTTTTTTGAGGAAATGGATGGAAAGGAAGGTTTAATGAGATGAGATGAGTTGTCACAATATTATTGGATGATGTGTGTGATTTTTAAAAATGAGATAAGATGAGATGTGATGAGTTGGATGATGTGACACATTTCTTGTGTTTGGTTTATTTTTAAAGGTAAGAAAGGAGATGAAATGAGATGAGTTGGAGGATAAAAATAATATTTTATTAGATGTTGTGGGTGAATTTTAGGGATGGAAATGAATAAAAATATTATTTTATTGATTTCCTTGTACCGATTTCCCTTTTTTGGATTTTAGGAAACCAACCAAACAGCCCCTAAGTGTAATTTCCACCAAATTTCTATTCAAAACACCCGCCAAATTTCAGGAATTGAACTGAAAACAAAAGTATCCAAATAAGGGACAAATTTTCAAAACCAACCCCTTTCATTATTTATTTTCAAAAGACGACCGCTTTTGCAAAAAATTTCAAAAACCAAGCTGAAACCAGATCGATTTTTGAAAATTTTTATCCGAAACTTCACGGGAGTTGAACTCCCGTGAAGTTTAGTAAAACTACTAAATTTCACGGGAGTTGAACTCCCGTGAAGTTTCGTAGTTCAATTTTTTTTGAACTGCGAAACTTCACGGGAGTTCAACTCCCGTGAAGTTTAGCAGTTTTACTAAACTTGACGGGAGTTCAACACCCGTGAAGTTTCCAAAGTTTTTTCACAAAAACCCACCTGGTTTCAGCGCCAAGGCTGAAACCAGGTCGGTTTTTGCAATTAAGTTTGAAAGGGGTTGTTTTCTGAGATTAAATTTCTAAATAGGTTGGTTTTGAAAATTTGTCCATCCAAATAAGCCATGACCTACACTGTAACCTGAGGTGGATTTAGGTTCATAGGTTAGAATACAATTACACCCCTATAAATTAAAAAAGTGCATACAAGTCCTTATAATATTGACAATCTACACCCCCATAAAATGTTAAATTCGCACCCCAATCCATCGAAAAGCACTAATTTCGTAATAAATTGAATTCGCCCGTCTAAAGCGTACCGAGTGTTTTCCCATTAGACACTATGGTTTTATAATATTAAATTATTATTTCAAATAAATAAATAATCATTGCCCACGTCCAAAGAAAAATTTTCAGGGTCCGCCGTTGAAAGTAACTGTTATGGGGTTCACAAAGCTTCATATTCTGAAAGGGTGATATACATATACCTAACATATCATTACTTAAACGTGAGGGGTTTACATGCATACAGCAAAAAGGGGGGGGGGGAAATTCACAGGCTGGCGACACGTGCTGAGCAGATAATTATTACAGCGTAAACGGAAAACTAAAAATCTTTCATCAGGGAAAAAAAAGGGAAAGTTTGACGGCGAAAAGAAACGAGAAAAACGACGACTCTCTCTCCCCTCAAACCTCTACTGGTCGTTCCTTAACGCCCCCCCCCCCCCACGCCAACCCCACCCCCTTCAAACCGTGTTGTTGAGCTCAACTTCATCGAATCTCGCGTCTAAGTTTCAGATGTGACCTCCACCTTGAAAATTTCCCCAAATCAAGAACATCAAACCCTAGAAAGAGACGATCATGGACCTCAACAAGTTCTCCATCGGCCACAACAACAACAAAAATCCACCACAACTTCTTCGACCTCGGTACCTCAAGCTCGGCATCGGCGGCGGCGGCGCGGGCGGCGATGGGGACAGCACAGCGGCGGCGGCATGGGGTCCATCGCAATGGAGACCGACGACTGCAGCGTCCGTCGATTCCAACTCCAGACAAAGCTCCCTAAACCAACTCCCAAACTCGATTCCTCCATCACCCGGGCCTCAAACCCTTCGATCTCTCCGAGGGTTCGACTCAACACAGCAAGAACGGGCCCAGGCCCAACCGGAGAATCCCGCACGCTTTGAAAGACGACATCTTGGCCCAGATGTTGATGGACCCAAGTCAAACTACCATCTCCCTCGGCCCGAGCTACGATCACTGGGACATTGATCTTCGAAAGCTCAACATGGGGGTTGCTTTTGCACAGGGAGCATTTGGGAAGCTCTACCGTGGGACCTATAACAGCGAGGATGTGGCAATTAAGCTTTTGGAGCGACCGGAGAATGATTTGGAGCGAGCTCAGTTGATGGAGCAGCAGTTCGCTCAGGAGGTAATGATGCTCGCAAACTTGAAGCACCCAAACATCGTTAGGTTCATTGGTGCTTGCAGGAAGCCGATGGTTTGGTGCATTGTGACCGAGTATGCGAAGGGCGGTTCTGTGAGGCAGTTTCTTATGAAGAGGCAGCACAGGACGATTCCAGCGAGGGTTGCAGTGAAGCAGGCTTTGGATGTTGCTAGAGGGATGGAATATGTGCATGGACTCGGGTTCATTCATAGGGATCTAAAGTCGGATAATTTGCTTATTTTTGGGGATAAGTCGATTAAGATTGCGGACTTTGGGGTGGCTAGGATTGAGGTGAAGACGGAAGGGATGACACCGGAAACCGGGACGTATCGCTGGATGGCCCCGTAAGTTTTTGCTCCTCTCTGTTGGATACTTATTTATTGTTAAGAAAGTGATATTCTTTTCTATTTATCTGTTGACTGCTTTCAGTTGGATATATTTCCATTTATCTGTTTATATCTTTATTTATTTGTCATGCACAAAGCTTCACAGGTAAAGTTGCTAATTCTGTTTATATGCAAAACTCTTTTTGAAGGGCTTGCTCATTGGCTCACAAATTTCTTGTGTTATATAGTATTTCTCATATTTGACGAAGCATAAGTTTTCTTGGACAGACTCCCTTGTTATGCTGTTATGCACGTTCACATTTAGGAGTTTCGAAATGATTGATAGTTATTAAGTAAATTTATATGATGTATATCCATATAGCAGATTGTAATAGCAATTAGCTAGAAGTAATAATTATATTGAATTGTCGCCTTTCCTGTTATCTTCCAAGGCCCCTTGGTCATGGGAATATGAATTGTAGATTTAACTTAGACCCCTTGTAGCATCACCTAATTGCGAATAGACCCCTTGGAGTTCTATTTGTGCAGATAGACACCCCTGAGTGATTTTTGTCTCTTAAAATCGTCAAAAAGGTTTTTAGGAGGCGCATAAAACCCCTATAGTTCTGTTGGTGGGGATAGACTCCAAATTGATAAACTTTTTAGACCTTAAAAGAGTTGAAGAAGTTCACTAAGGGGGTGAATTCGCACTTGGGCCAATGCTACGGGGTCTATTTGTGCAGATAGAACTACAAGGGGTCTACTCGCAATTGAGTGATACTAAGGGGGGTCTATTTGCAATTAACCCTTTAACTTATTATGTATACATTATGGTTTATAATTTTGATGGTATTTTTATCTCTATTACTACATATGCATAACATTTGGAGACAGCAGAAGCATGGTCTGTTACTGCTCACATGCTTGTGCTATCGCCACATCAAAATTCGCAATTTTGATCGAATTGATCCCTAAAGGTAAGAGACTAAGTGTCCAACTCCAAATTCATATGGGTGAACCCCAACCCACGGACATACATTCCCTTGGCGACATCCAACACTTGCTTCATCATGACCGTTATCAGCATCGTCCTGTGCTGTGTGTTCGTGAGAAAAGGCCTCATCAACCTACCCTTTTCATGTATAATAATGCACCAAACCATTTGTTTCCTGCACGTTTCAATTAATCTAGCAATGTGGAGTTGCTTCAACTTTTGCCAGCATCATTACCTCTTGAGCAACTGGTGCTCCATTAATTGGGCTCGTTCCAAGTCGTTAAGAATAGTGCAAGTATGTAGGTGACATGTATTTCATTTATGTCTAAGCACCTCATTTCATCCTCTTGATTGCTAGAGCTTTGTGATCAAATAATTGAGATTGTTAAGACTTTGAGATGTGAAGTTGGTAGTTTATGGTATACTAACGTGCCTTGTCAGTTGGTTGAGTTAAGGGTGCAAAGCAGAAGATATTGATCGAATAGTGGTTTAACCATATTTGTCTGCTATTTGGGTATATATGGTTGATGGATACATATGCAGATATTGCCTGGATTTTGGATGTTAACTTGTGTATACATATTTAATGGGAACACAAATTTGAATTCGGATCAAATCTAGGTAGTATTCGGATATTATTGGATATAAGTGAAGTTTAAAAGGAAAAATGTATTCAACCTTCAAACTCCATGAGTCCACATATATAGTAGTGAATAAAGATCCGTATGTTATATTATATAACATTAAATAGACTGACAATATATGGAATGATGTTTTTTTTCAAAATGCGATGGTAGAATTGTCTTCAAATCAAAATTTTGTATGTTCAACCTAGTCTAATGGCATTCAACTAAGTTTTATCATCTTGATTTTAACCTTTATGTATTAAGCATTTTATGTTTCTAAGGGTGTGAGAACGTAAGCTTAATCCGGCCTTGAGATGTTTAAGCTCTGCTTCAAATAATTCCAAGTTGTTCAGAGCAAAAGCTCTTTTTTTGAGCCAGGATCTCATAGTTAACTTCATCTTATTTAACTGAGTTATGCACAAGCTACTCATTAAGATTCTTCTAAATTCTTCTGAATATGACAACTTCTAATTTTCAAAAACCCATCTAATAAAGTAACAATTTAACAGTTCAAAGCCGTACATAAGTACTGAACAAGGTTGATCTAACCAAGTAGATAATTAATAACCTACGCAGTGTGTTGACTGGTTGTAGCACAATTTGGAGATAGAGTGATGTACTTGCACTGCCTTTGCTCATCTACTGATTGATCAAATTTCAAATTGTCAAAACATCATCTATTGTGTCAAATTCTTGCCCCTTTTTTGGCCTCAACTCATCTGATACTTGAGGAGTATATATCAAATCATCGTCGTCCAAGTTTAATTCATTAGCTACATTTTGACAGCTAGACCCTACTCCAATGTCCAAGTTTTCCATGTCTCACAACAGATTCGATACCTGCGACCAACATATATGGCAACTGTTTTAAGTTAACAAAACTTTACAAAAGCCCCTACTTCAATACATAACTATTAATGAAGGTTGATGTCTACTTAATTATGATTAACAATTTTAATAAATGTTAACTGATTGTTTCTGTGGAGTACTAAATAACAGACTCAATGAAGCATACAAATTCAGGGACGAGAATTAAACCAACCAAGATTCAAAATAGCAGAGTTGCATACAAGTTCACAGACACCAGCCAGTACAACAACGATTGTGACTTGAGCTTCTTCTAGGCACGCACATATTCGCCTTGTTCAAGCGTGGCACAAGTACTATTTTGAGATCCACTGCTCAACTGACAGTGAAACCTAAGTTAGTTTATTCACCAATAGAGTTCATTTAGTTGAACAATGGATTAAAAAAAGGGGCTATTACAAACACCTTCATCTGATTTACCGCTCTGGACTAGACTGTCCTGGGATGAAGTTGAAGCGGTGAAGGGCATCAAATCAATTGGAAGGTCTTAGGCCTTGGTCACAGCTTGGTTTCCTAAACAGACCACCTGTCTTGGTTTCCTAAACAGACCACCTGTCTTGGTTTCCTAAATAGACCACCGATTTGATGTAATCAAAACACAAAGAAGATAAAAAAGATGAGGAAAAGGAAGGAAATGCAAATAACTGTGGACTAATTTAGAAATCATCTTCCTATGCCTCCTCTCTCATCTGTAGATGCGGGGATTCAATCTCCAAATTGTACAATATCTTTATTAGTTGGAGAAGTTGAAACATTAACTCTCTAAAACATGTATATCTGTGTGTGCTTGCATCCGTTGACTCGTGTGTGCGCTGAGGAGCAATCCCTTAACAACTAACACTTAAAAAGCATCAGACAATTGGCTCGTGCTATGCAATAGTGATATATATATATATACTGTGTGTGCGCTCGCATTTAAAAAGTGTCAAACAAGTGTTCAGTCTCGTGCTATGCACTAGGAATACCCCTCAGCTAAAGCGTGATAAAGCATCAAGTGTATAGGTTATAGAGCTGTTGGACAGATAATGAGGTAATTGTCCATGACAACACAATTATGATCGTAATAAGTGCTTAGTCTTGTCTTGACAACACTTAAAAAGCATCAAACAAGTGCTTAGTATCGTGCCATGTACTAGGAAAACCACTCAACTAAAGCGTGATAAAGCATCAAGTGTCTAGGTTATAAAGCGGTTGACAGAATATAAGGTAATCATCCTGGACAACACAATTATGAACATACGATGATGTATTGCATATTCTATTAGCTGACTAAATTTGTCGATTGACTAATGTTAACACTAGTACTCTCTTCTGCGCGGTGGAAAAAAGCTAGCGCTTCTAAACACACAAATAATAGCAAGAAGAGTATAGCTATGAATGAGTATATTAATAGAGGGTTGTCAATTTACCAAAGCACAAATCAACCACTCAAATATGGAATGATTCAATTTACGCTTTAGCTTGTTTTGGCCCTTCAAGATGAATTCAATTTAATGTAGAAAACTATATCATACTCGTCTAGATGTCTGTCCAATGAATCCTATTATTCCATTATTCTTTAGGATTCATATCATGTTGACCCAATTAAGTTTTATACTGGTTGTCAGCTAGCTAACCAATCCTCCTATTTTATCCTGGACCCTAGCTTGGGACAAACAATAGAAAGAATGATTAAACTGCTTGACCAGAAGAGAGGAACTTTGTATCTACCAAGTATGATCATTTAGTTCATAGCATGTCTCTCTTGCTCATAGGTATTATATTTATGAATTTGGCACAAATACATAAATGATTGATTTCGATAGGCAATTGATCATGAAACTTGGTTCACTTTCCTTTTCAACTTGTTGCACTCCTTATCCCTCCATTTTGATGGTGAACTTAACATTAATGATGAAGTTGCTTATAATCAACCTCTTAGTAGTTTTACATTATTTGATGGATTAGGGGATAGTACCCGTAAGGTGGAACGACTTCATCTTAGGAAATCACTGTGACACCCACACTTTAGTCCCACATGGACTAGTGTGAAGAAATATTAGTGGCTTAAATAGAGAAGCCCAAGACCCAAAAATAACTAGTGCTAGTATTTTAACAATGGACTTTAGCCAACATCGAGTTGCTCTCGGTGGGTCCCATGCCTTGCACGTGCCAACGGGCCCATGGGCCATGGACGTGACAAACACAAAGGATGGTGAAAACTTCTTTTAGGATTAAAATGGTAAGTTAGTAGAAATTTTCTTATAGCGTTCTCTATAAAAGTCAGATTAATAGTTAATAAATCCTAATTGATTTAAGAAGATTTTCGAATTTAATTATGTCAAATGACCCTTCCACTACACAAAACTCTAAACTTAGAGTGCCGACCGAGGGTTATAATTTTATATTCTAACATGTCTCCATAGGTTGAGGGCTCTTTTATGGGCTGAAGCCTGAACTCGTAGAGCAATATCTTTTTTAAATGTGCTCTAGAAATTTGTGACCAGTTACATTCGGACCCGGTTTGTTTTGATACCATGTCAAATGACCCT